TTTCATCTTATTTGAATTCACAATCAAGACCTTTGGCATCAGCAGTCAAAAAATAAAAAGATGTACCATCAAGGACCTCTGCAGAATCCTCAAGAGCAATGGTATCTGGTTAAAAATTCAGGTGCACCTGATTCAAGTCATGGTCTTTCCAATTACCTGCTACGCATCTGAGAGCTGGATAATGAATAAAGATGACATAAGAACTGATGCTTTTAAATGGTGCTGGAGAAGAGTGCCGAATAGCCCATGGCCTGCCAAAAGAACAAACAGATATGTCTTGGGTAAAGCGCAACCAGTGTCTTTTAGAGGCAAAAATGGTGAAGTTTTTCTCTCGTACTTGGAGCATGTTGCTAGGAGAGGCTATTCCTTGGAAAGGATCATCATGCTATGAGAAGTGGAGAGTCAGTGAAAAAGAGGAAGACACAATGAGATGGTTTGACAAAGTGACTGCAGCAACGAGTTCAACTGTGTCAAAGTTGAAGGAGATGGCACAGGATGGGACAGGGTTCAGGCCTGTTGTGACAGGCTTGCTAAGAGTCCTGGACTTGATAGTGCCTAACAACAACAATTTTACCTTTCAGATGTTGGACAGTGGTAACTAAATCAACAAGCACAAGCTTCAGAGGATTTTTTTTTACAATATAATTTTTTTCCTATTTTTCTGTGTTTGAACCATATGAAAATATTAGCATTAAAAATCCAGCTCTCTCGCTGGCAAGAGCTTCCCCTCTGTATTTATTTTCAAGGCGGGAGATCTGTCCCTTTGGGGATGTAGCTTTCTAATAAATCTGTCTTTACTATTTTACCCTAAAAAAAAATCCAGTTCTCAGCTGTCTGATCCCTTTCCCCAAGTTATACACACCTGCTTCCTTCTACTATTGCTTGAAACACCCAATTCCCATAACTTTACTGCCCTTCCTCGTGGTAATCGTAAGTTGTTGTGTGCCATTAAGTTGGAAGTGACCCATAGCTGACCCTCCAGTGAGTTTTCAGAGGCAGTAAACCATAGGGAGGAGAATGCCCATCCTTCTCCTGTGGAGCTTCTGCTGGATTTGAACTGCATGCCTTTGGGACTGCACTGTCGCTTCTTACCTTAAGTCCACTAGAGCTCCCTAATCATAATACTACTTACCAATTGCTTCTGCTTTCTCACCTTCTGAACACATGGGAGGGCTGACTCCATGGCCTCCTGGTCATTGGCTGAAGTTATCTGATGGATTAGTTCTGTATTAATGAATGAGTTCTGGGCTGCCAGACATTGCCCATCCCACGCCAGTGATAGCTGTATACTTGCTTATTTCATAGTTTGTTCTTAGGGGTCTAGCACTTATCTGTCAATTTGTTGTATTAGGGGAGTGATTTGCACATTGCTGCTTATTTTATAGCTTATATATGTATACACTTGCTTGTTTATACTTCTAAGTACAGCACTTCTCCATCAGTTTGCTGTGCTGGAGTGATTTTCAGGTTGTTAAGAAGCCACTGATATTTCAAATACCAGCAGGTTCATCCATGATAGACAGGGTTCAGTGGAGCTTCCACACTAAAACAGACTAAGAAAAAGGATCGGCCATCTACATCTGAAATAACAGGCCTTCAAAATTCATACGAGTAACAGAGCAGCATTGTTACATATAAAGCTGGAAGTAAAGTTCTTACATTGGAAAACACTAAAAAATTAAGTTCCAAATATCTATTAATAACTGAATCCTTAAATTATCTGGTTCATATGCATTATGAACCTAGGAAAATTGGAAGTTGTAATGAATGAAAATAAATGGAATGGATAAAGATTGACATTCTAGTCATTAGTGAGCTGAGACAGACTGGTTTGGGCCACTTTGAATCAGACAATTATATGATCTATTTTTTGCTGGAATTAAACATTGAGGAAGGATGATGTCACATTCATAGTAAAAAAAAAATCAAGATCTATCCTGAAGTGCATGAAATGCTTTGAGTGACAGGATACTATCCATCAGCAAACAAAGAACTGTTAATACAACTACTATCTGAGTGGAAAAGTTGGAAACAAGAAAGAAGGACTGGCATTTGAAAATTATGTTCTTGGCAATGAAAATGAGATTAGAGATCAAATGACTGAATTTTGTATAATCAATGATTTGTTTAAATACCTTTTTTAAAGACCATAAACAGTGACTATACATATGAACCTCACCTAATGGACTGCACAAGAATCAGATTGACTACATCTGTGGAAAGAAACACTGGAGAAGCCCAATCAGCACTCAAAATCAGGTCAAGTGCTGATTGTGGCGTAGACCACAAATTACTCATATGCAAGTCTAAATTGAAGCTAAA